AATACCTAAATTTATTTATATTTCCAATTTCTAAACTGCATATCTCCCTTAGAGAAGTATTACCTCTCACAACACCCAACAGTTAATTTTTCTCCACACAGTTCATGTAGAGCAGTGTTTTTCAAGAGACCACTTTAAGATGTGTGGACTTCATGGGAGTTGAAGTCCACACATCTTAGAGTGGCCAAGGTTGAAAACTACTGATGCAACCCTTCCACAGCTCTCCTCTGGGATATGTGGACTACCCAGACTAATCCCTGAGAAACCCCAGATTGTCCTAAATGGCAATTCCCACACCTTCCCACTGGCCATATCGGCAATAACTAAAGAAACCAAAAGCTGCAAAGACCTGAACAAGAGGATACTGGTCCATGATTCTGTGACGTTAGAGCTACTATTTCAGGAAATGCCCATCACATTATCCCTGGATTTTGCAGCTCAAGAGAAAGAAATTATCTCCCCTCCATGCACACGAGATACATGGTTGGCTCCAACCTGCAGACTTTTGGTTAAGACTTGCCTCTTCCTCTTGGATCTGAGTTTGAATGAGTCAAGTTCCTAACTGGAGAGGCCCCATATTCATTACTTTTGATCATCTTTTAATTGTTGTGGTTTGCTTTAAGCGGTGTCATGGTTTTGCATGACCCAAAGTCACATTGATAAAGGCTTGAAATAAATGACAATAAGCTTGCATAGAAGTGTCAATTTTGTTGCAATGGAGGTGGTAATTTTTGTTTGGGAACATTACTTGGGAACCCTGTGTTACTGGAAAGTACAAGATATGTGTTCATACATGTACACCAAAGTCACTTTGTGTGCAACAACTTTCCCATAACATAAATAGGAGTTTAAGGCTTAAGTGTCTCAGAACTGTTTATATACTCCTTTGATTTGTCTCTTCTGCTGGGGAAAAGAAACACAGCCATATTTGTAAATCTGGTGTTTAATACTAAATGTAATTAGGTTTTCAAGCAAATTAGCAGCTCCAGAAAGATTCACACCAAGTAACCTTTTTAAGTACTGAAATTATGAATGCAGTGTTTTATCTTATTTTAGAGGAATTCAATCACAAGTTTTTTTAAAAAGTGTGATAATACAGTATGAGCAGCACTGCTTCTCATCAACATTTCCTACGCATACATTTTGCTTTATCATTCTATGCAGACTTCTTGGCAACAACTTTGGCAGAAATCACACAGGAATTTTCCAGAAATGAATACTGTATACTCTTTTCCAAAATAAAACCAAAAAAGCCCCCTGCTCTGGATAGTAAAGTGTGCTTTACAGCTCATCAAGTAAAATCCATTTAAGTAGGAAATAAAGGGTTTTGGTTAGAAAAATATCATTTATAGATTTTTTTTCAAACCAAAATGTTTTTAAAAGACTAGGTCATCTGGAGATTTCAAAGGTCCAGATAGTCTCTGAGCCACCCAGAATTATGTGAGATAGGCAGCTATATAAATTGAAGAGAGATGCGGCTGAGTTTTAACTCCCATTAGCAGTGTTTTTCAAATCTCAACCTTGGCGCTTGAACATGTGTTGACTTCAACTCTCAGAATTGCTGGCTGAGGAATTCTGGGATTTGAAGTCTACACATCTTCAAGCTGCCAAGGTTGAGAAACACTCCCATATAACACCTATAAGACAGGTGGTATCAAATCTGAGGAGATTTTGTTTTCTCTACATGAAGGATATGTCTTTAGAAAATGAGTAAGAGTGAACAGCAAAGGAAGAATTTTTCCTGCCCAACAAAAATAAAGAGGGTATTTTGGAGTCGTGTTTTTTAAACCCCCTGAAACAAGACAGAATGCCAAGTTTGTGTGGAGACAAAGAAACACACAAAGAGCATATTCTTGTTAAGGACACCCACAGTATGTTCTATATACAGAACTGCTATCCTGAAACTCAAATGGTTTTATTAAAACCCTTATCACGGCAATAAAAGCAAACATTCCAGAAAGTAAACGTGATTGTATTCTAAGGAAGTGCCTAAACTCCAAGACCAGCTGATAAAATCTAGGCAGCCAGGAAACCTACATCCACAGTTCTTTTGTGGCACAACATGCTAGAAGCAGCATTATTTTTAAAAAAAAAAGTTTACCCCCCCCCCCAAGTAGAGAACTACTCTAAGTATAGAGTCAATTCTGCAATTCACAGGCCAAAAAAAAAAAAAAAAAGCAAGCTGTGTAGAACAAGCCAATAGCCATTTGCCTGTTTGGGAAAGGGTCTGTAACTTGTCCACACATCTTAAAATTGCCAAGGTTGAAAAACACGGTGATAGACTGTCCTGGCTTAGCATAAACATAAAATAAATAAACAGGCACCCCTCAAAGCCGGCAAAAGAGGAAAACTTAACCAGGACGGAATTTGTTTATTGTTGAAAGACAAGGCGGCTTGCAGGAAAATCTAGAAACCCTTTTCTCTGCTCTCTTCTGCTTTGAATCGATTCCCAGCAGGCAGCTTTGGAGGAAGAGCTGCATCCCGCCCACGCAGCAAGGATTAGATATTCAGGATTCGCTTGAAGTTGCAACAATACGGATGGCAGTACAGGAGGAGGTGCTTACACCCTTGTCCTTAAACACATGCACAGTTAAACAAGGTTTGGATCTTCCTGCAGACACCTTCCTAAACAAAGTAGACCGTGAGTACTCTGAAGTCGGTCTTAAAGGTGGAAGGAAAACATCAAAGGGCACTATGGAAGGTTAAACCTACATCTCTTTCAGGAGTTAAGTCAACAACGGCTCCCAAAAACAAACTGTCCTTGGCAACATACATTGGGAAATTTGCAGAAGCAGGCAAGTTTTCCTCTAACTACTGTACTATAGGTTGCTCCAGCAGTTAGGAATCCATGTCTAGGACAACTAGGGTGGTTTTTTCCCCTCCTACAGTACTTTGGAAACTCTTGGAATTATTTCTGGGACATATGGAGACCATAAGTGCATGTTTCCATCATTAGATTTCTTGGACTGCATTCATAAAGGCAAGCAATATTAACGAGTCTTCAAAACTTCACTCACAAAGAATTGTCGATGTATTCCCCCTTACACTTAAAATCCTAAACTAACTGCTATCAATTGCATTTCTACAGCCCAAATGCTGCAAGGGATTAAGCATCCCTTCCCCACCCCCCTCAACTTAAATCTCAAAATGAACAGATGCCACAACATCTGAGTTTTTTAAACTCTCATTACAATACACCATCAACTTCTTAAGTTTGAGCTACTGCTGCTACCCACTTTTTGAACTCCAAAGATGATTACAATTTTCAACCTGCTCCTATTTTCATATTAATGCTCTCTCCCTCTCCCAAACTCACCCATCCGATCCTTCATTGCTAATTCCACTATTATTCCTCCTCCGATTCAGTCTTAATGAACTGCATTAACAGGTGAAAAATCTGTTATATACTGAAAACATAAACAGAGATGCCCAATAACTAAAAATAAACCTCCTTGTTGGATCATCCATGTTTATCTGATTCCTAATTACCATTCTTAGCTAACCTGTTATACAAGCCGATCTACCTTTGTCTCCCATCCAGTGGCAACTCACACCTTTCCTCCTCAGCTTTGCACTCCTAATTCTGCCAGTTCAACTCAGTCCCCCATTCACAAATAGTTTCATTAATTTCCTCCCTCAAGATCCGGCATCAAGCCGGGTTGTACAGATAATGCCTGCCTCCACAAGTCGCCTGCAGAACTACCCTTGACTCTCCTTTGCCAAGGAGAAATACGGAAGTCAACTCCCTAGCCACTTTTGTCTTAGATTTCTGCTAAACTACTCACACCCATCCACCTTCATGCCAACCTTTCTGAATTACTTCCCTGAGTTTCAGCCACCACACCTGCTCCAATTTGCACCCAGGATATCACACACACACATTTGAATTTAACATCTTTCCTTTTCATCTTAGCTCCTTTCAAACACTTCCTCTTCCCACACTTGCTTCGGCCAATTTTCTCTGGCCACTTTAACCCAGAATAAATACCCTCCTCTTTTCCCATTGGAACTCTCCCCATGCCAACTCACATGGAAAACCAAAACTTGGAGAAGGAAACCAGGAACCTGCCTACCTTCGCTTACCATCCTGTACACCTGTTGAAAATCAAGACCAGGTGAAAGAGGAAGCCGGCATAGGCAAGATTAAATGGAGATACCAGGAAATCAAGCCAGGTTCATTCAAGTATGTGCATGAACACCCAGAGTGCCCAAACAGGCTTCTCCAAGCCCAGAAAACCATTTTAGTTCTCCCATCTTAAAACAAACCAACATTTAAACCCTCACACTTTCAACCTCCCCCATTTTTTTGGCTTCTTTTGCCACAGCAGAGCCAGGATCCAAAATGCCATAATACAGGCAAGCGACATGTACACATTTCTAATCCTCCTATCCCAACTCCTCAGGAGGAAAAAAGGCGAGGGGGAAGGAGCCTGCAAATGGAGTAATTGAAGCCTAATTTGATTTAATTAGGGAAGAAAGACACAGGTATCCAAGGTGGTCACAATTCAAAGTGGTCAATTCAAACCCTGGTTCATCCAAGGTGGTCATTCAACACCCCCCCACACACCCCAATTCCCTATTTACAATGCCAACTGCCTATGATAATTCTATTTTGCTCAATAAATCAACCCGCTTCTCGGGCCGCCCTTCCAACCCCCGTCAGGCACCCCGAGAAGGGCGTTTATTCATTCACTAAGCAAAATATAGGTATCCATGCGTGGCCAGTTGCCACTATAAATAGGGAATTGGAGTGTGGTGGGCTTGACTGACCAGGGGTTTGAATGACCACCTTGCCGACCCCCAACTGTCAAACCAGCAGGGGGAAGAAGGGAGAAAAAAAAAGCAGCCTCTGGAGACCAGGGCCTCGAAAGAGGCTTCACACGTTCCCCCCGACACGTGTTCTCGGGTCTCGCACCCCCCCCCCCAGTCGCCAACCTCCACCCCCGTCGCCGAGGGCCAGGCCGACAGAGCCCCCCCCGTGGGGTGGAGGCCCGCCTCACCTGGAGATGCTCCTGGAAGCGGATGGGTAAGATTTGTGCCATGGCGGCGGAAGCGTTGTTGGGGTTTGGGGGCTCCAGCCCGACGCCGGGGATGGGGCGCTGGCCTTTCCTCAGGAACGCAGAGACGGCGAAGCGGAGGGCGGAGGAGCCGGCGAGGGCAGCTCGTAATGGCGGGGCAGGCCGAAAGAGAGAGAGAGAGAGAGAGAGAGAAACGCCGAGGAGGAGGAGAAGCAGCAGCAGCAGGAGTCCTCTCTGCTCGCGCGAGCGGAAGGACACCGACGGGCCTCCTCAGAGAAGGGAGCGCAGCGGCCGCGCCTCCGCCTTATCCTCGCTCTGCCTGCGCCTTCACCTGCCGCGGATTAGCCGAACGGCGGAAGGATCGCGCCGAGGAGGAAGAGAAGGAGTTGCAGCCCTCCTTTAAGGAATCAATGGATTCGGCGGAAGGATACAGAAAGCCGGAAGGGACTTCTTCTTTTTTTTCACCCACCCACCCCTTCCTTTCGGCCGGCCCGCGTCTGCGTCGTGGTTCGTTGTCCAACCCGAAGCCCCGCCCCCCCCCACGAAACGCTGGGTCTCCCTCCGTCCCCCTTTTTTTTTTTTGCCACATCATGCGACATGGGCGGGGGGGGACGTCAGTTCCGTTCCGAGAGGAGCCCCGCCCATCTGGGGAGTCACATGATCGGAGGTTAGAATTGGGGGGGGGGGAAGATCCGCAAGGTGGACGTTCTAGGGCGGAGGAAATATAGCGCCTTGTTCGTTTTCCCGGTGGAATGCGAAAGGAGCGAACTCCGCCGACGGCGCTGCTTGTAATAGAGCCGGGGAAGGTGGGGGGCGGGGGTTAAAGCGGGAGTTGGGGGTTCGAATCGCGCTTTCGCCTCAGGTCAGGGTGACCTTGAATCGGTGACCTTAGAAAAAATGAAAGTAGGATGAAAAGCTATATATATATATAATATAAACATAATACAGGGGCATTCTAACTATCATATTATTTAATAAGTGTGATGGTGTTGCTTTGGGGACATTCATCCGAATTAAGCAAAGCATGGTGGTTCAACTGCACATGTTGGCTTGATTCAAACCAGTGTTCCTTAGAGGTGAGGGAAACACAACAGGTGGCCCTCGACTTAAAACCACAATTGAGCCTATAACATTTTCTGCAAACATGTTGTGCTGTGACAATAAAGCTAATAATAATGCAGCTTAAGCAAGACTTCTGCCCCACTTTATGACCTTTCTTGCCACAGTTGTTAAATGAATCACTGCAGTTAAGTTAATTGCTTGGTTAAGTGAATCCAGCTTAACCATTAACTTCTCTGTCAGAAGGTCGCAAAAGGGATCACATGACTCTGGAACACTGTGTTGGAAGAATCACAATCAGAAGGCTGTGAGTTCGATCCTAGGTAGAGGCTAGACTCTCGTGCTTCAGCAGGGGGTTGGACTAGATGACCTCCAAGGTCTCTTCCAACTCTGTTATTCTATTCTATTCTCTATTCTAATTATCCTTCTGGGATCAGTTCCAAGTGGGGAAAAAGACACTGGAAACATGGAGGCTGTTTGGAAAGATGGTTTAATGGTGGCTTGGAGCTCCAAAGAAGGAAGGGATGATGACATGGTTCAGGGTGAAGGAAGAGATCAAGAAGAAGCAGGAGGGCTGAGAGTGCCTGGGTTTTATACCCTCCGTTGGGATTTGAATTTGAACGTGTATTCTGATTGGTTGTCAGACTCCCATGGAGCCATGCAGGGGCAACTCTGTAGGCTTGGTTGAGCCTTGCTGGATGATGATGATGTAATGAAAGGGCTTTGGGCAATTCCTATTATGGGTTTACCTGGAGTAGATCTTTGTTATGTAAAATATTCTGTTCCAGGCCTTAATGGCCCACCCATTAACAAAGGTGGGGGTGAGCTTCTGCTTCTGAGGTGAATTTCTGTTTCTGAGTTTCTACTTCTCTATTTAGAGGAAATATTCTGCCTTTTTAGTATTTCCTAGGATATTTCATTTTTCTAGGAGAGGGGTGGGTTTTTAACTTCCAACAACTACAGCCGTCGTAAATATGAACCAGTTGCCAACTGTCTGAATTTTGATCACATGACCCTGGGGATGTTACAAAGGCCATAACTCTGAAAAACGGTCCTAAGTCACATTTCTCAGTGCCTTCATAACTTCGAATGGTCACTAAATGAACTTGTCAGTCAAGGACTACCTGAACTGCAGGTAGACCTTGACTTACCACCATTCGTTTTGTGACGTTCAAAGTTACGACACTAAAAAATGGGATTGATGGCTGGTTCTCACACTTATGAGGGTTGCAGCATCCAAAATTTGGACACTTGGCAACTGGCATGTGTATTTAGGACAATGGTAGCATCCTTGGTCAAGGGATTGTCATTTGTGACCCTCCCAGACAGCTGTTGACAAGCAAAGTCAATGGAGGAAGCCAGATTCGCTTAAATGATCACAATTCACTTAACATCGGCAGGGATTTGCCTAATAAGCAAAAGCAGGTCGTAAAACCATGCGTGACTCACTTAAAGACTGCCTTGCTTGGCCGCAGAAATTCTGGTCCCAATTGCACTCATAAAGTTGTTAACCTTATTTTGTGAAGCTTCATCTCCGGTAACAATTGAATTGTTAACTACTAGGGCATACAAAACCTTTGCCAGACCAATTCTTGAATACAGCTCGTCCGCCTGGAAGCTGCACCGTATATTGGACACTTAACACGATTGAGCAGGTTCAGTGCAGAGGTGGGTATTCAGCATTTTGAGTAGTTCAGAGAACTGGCAAATACCACCTCTGACCACCCCTGTCCCCCTCTATGTTCTGCCTCCCGAGTCCCAGCTGATCGGCTGGGTCTCCTTTTGTTGCCCTGCACAGGACAACGAAGCTGGAAAGCAGGTTAGTGGGGTGGGGAGGGAATGGGGATTTTGCAGTAAACTTCCCCTGCCACCCCCACCAAGCCACCCTCACCAGAAGAACCAGTAGTAAAAAAAATTTGAACCCTACCACTGGTTCTTGGGAAGAGTTCTCTACTCCTCCATCCACAATAGAATTCCCTATGGCTCCAGGCTTGAAATTTTGGGCCTGGACAATCTGGAACTGCGGTCCAATCTAAGCATAGTACACAAAATTGTCTGCCTTCTTCACCTTCAACTGCAATAACACACAGGCAAACAATTGATTACAAACTCAAGGTAAACCACTTCAAACTCGATTGCAGAAAATACGATTTCATCAACAGAGTGGTCAACACCTGAAATGCTCTACCCCAGTGGTCCCCAACCACCGGGCCTCGGATCGGTACCGGTCCGTGGATCATTTTGTACCGGGCCGCCAGTTTGCTTGGGCGCCGCCATCTTGTTTTGATGGCGCTTGAGAAAGTGTTTCCAGGTGAGCTTGTCAGTCGTGTGTTGTTGGAAAGCGGTGTTTGGGTGCTGAAGGAATCCTCGCGCCTTAGTTTCATCGAAGGTGGGGCGGCTTCGAACGAAGAGCTGTCCCGATGGTGGTGGAGTCTCACGTTACTCAGGAGGAGATTAAGAAAGAGCCCGAAAAGCACAAAAACGGTACAAAGGAGAAGTTGAAGGTGGCAGGTAGAAGCGGGGGATGGCTGGCTGGCCGGTCGCTCGGCTCGCCTTGCCTTGGTCGTGCGTGCTGATGCCGGTACCAGTCCGTGGATCATTTTGTGATGCCGGTACCGGGCCGTGGGACAAAAAAGGTTGGGGGCCACTGCTCTACCCGACTCCGTTGTTACAGCCTCAACCCCTCGCAGCTTCAACCACAAACTGTCTACGTGGACTTCACCCCATTCTTAAAAGGTCCTTAAACGGGGCATGCATAAGCGCACCAACCTGCCCACTGGCTCTGTCTTACTGTCCCCATTTACCTGCATTTACTTCCTTTGATCATGTTTATGTTCATACTTGTTATCTTGCGTATGTTTGATAAACGAACAAATAAAGTCAAGGGCTACACGATTATTCCCGCATTCCCAAGTAGAATTTGGCAGGTTGCACTTTTCTACCTCCCTGGGCTGAAGGATGATTGTGCAATATTAATAAATAGCACGATCGATACATAAAGCACTTTACCACATCACAAAACAGAAACATCCAGGCCTGGTCTTTGTAGAAGCCGCAGTCTAAATTTAGATGTTGGGACAGAAAAGAAACTTAAAATTCACAATAGAACAAAGCAACTATATGTGAAAATTCCCTTCTCGCCCCTATAGCAATAGCACCTACGTAGACCGGTGGTCCTTGACTTGCGACTGCAATTGAGCCCAAAATTTATGTTGCCAAGTGAGAAATCCGTGAAGTGAGTTTTGCTCCATTTTGCGACGCCTCTGGTTGCCTTGGTTCAGTGAATCACTGCACTTGTTAAATTAATAATATGGTTGTGAATTTGGCTTCCCCATTGACTTGGCTCATCAGAAAGATTCGGATTTTGATCACGTGACCACGGGGATGCTGCGATGGTCATAAGTGTAAAAAACGGCCATGTCACTTTTTTCAGTGCTGTTGTACATTTGAATGGTCACTAAATGAACTGTTGTAAGTTGAGGACTACCTGAACAGCTTGCCCTCGGAAGTTGTGGGAACGTCATCACTTCAGACTTTTAGAAGAGATTGGACCACCATTTGTCAGAAATGGTGTAGGGTGGGTTAGACTAGATGACCTCCAAGGTCCCTTCCAACTCTGATTCTCTGTTATCTGTATTTTGTTCATCCTCTCCCAACCCTCTATTTTTGTAAGAAACAGTGAACATCCATTCTCACCGGGGACACGCAATTACACTATTTTGG